AGCGCTTGGCGAGCGACTGCTGTGCGCCGCGCCGGGGCGGGAGCGCCGCCTGCGGGCGAGATCTGCGCGGCGCCGACGCGAGAGCGCCATTTTCCTTCGCTCTGTGGGAAAAAAGCACACTGTGGGAAAAAAAAAAACGCACCTAACGACGCGTGTTTTTCTCCCACAGACGTGTGTGTGTGTGTTTCTACGGACGCGTGTGCTTTTTCCCACAGACGCGTCACGACCCGTCGTGCGAGAGATGTGCGCCGCGCCCGAGCGGGCTTCCCTGGAGAGTGGGCGCGGTGCCGAGACGAAGGGCGCGACGTGTCGCCCTCTCTCCCGCGGGATATGCGCGCACCGCCCCACGCCCGACACGAATTGCTGCAACGCCGACGGCGAAGCGCCCATGTCGAAGACAGCAGCGACGACATAGCAGCTGTCTGTTTACACGTGAGGTTAGAGGGCCCAGATGGGGCGACTAGAAGAGGGAGGAGGAAAAGCCAGCCCCAGATGACTGGGGATGGGCTGGGGGGAAAGACGACGACGACGCCGACGCCGACGACGACGACGTGGGAGGATACGCCAACTTGATACCACGAGGAACGATGACGGGGGAGGAGGACAAAGAGGAATAAAAGGAGAAGGAGGAGGTGGCGCAGATGGAGGAAGAGGGAGAGGGATGAGACAACTGATTTGTTCTGTCTCCTCATCTGCCTGCTCCTCCTCAGCGGGGGGGGCGATGGGGGAGCAGGACCAGGGGAAGCGTGGGAAGCTGAATGGGGGGGGGGGGCGCAGCAACTAGGGGGGCCACATGCGAGCTCTACCCCTACGGGGTAGGGTTCGCATGTGGCCCCCCTAGCAACCGCAGATGTTCGCCTTTTCGCTTCCGATGGGCCTCCGAAGCCGCCCAAAGTGGCCCAGGAGAGCCCCACGAGGGTCTCAGCAGGGCTGCAGGCGGACCCCAGCGACACCCGAGGAGCACCCCAAGAGAGTGCCAAGAAGTCTCCTGGAGTCCTGGAGGTAAGCTCTTGGGCACAACGGCGCTATGACTGGTAATTGAATGCCCCTTTCATGGCCGATGACCACACGGATGAGGCGGGCCCAAAGAGGGCCGCCCCAGGGGGGCCTCGAAGGCTCCCCACAGGGCCCCAAGATGGCCCCGGCAGCCCTCCACGAAACTCTCAGAATTGCCTACACTGACCATTTCGGGGTCTGCTCGGGCTGGCCCCAGCTTCGGTTTGACGGGCGTCCCGTCTTCTTTCACTGTATGTTCATCCGCTTCCCGCCTTGGAGCCGTCGCTGGATGGATCAATGGGATACTCGAAGCGTCACGCCTCTATTCGGGCGTTGGCAAAACTGGGTTTAGTGGGACCTGGTTTAGTGATGTGTACTGGGGGACGCCCCCCCCGCCCCGTTCCACTGACCGGAACTGCCGTAACCCGAAAAAACACTAGCTGCGGCAGACCTGGTTTAGTGATTCTGGCCAGTTCAAGGGCTCTGGGGCCCTACCACTAACCGGGTCCCCTTACCTGGGGTCCTGGCCATACCCGATCTGTCCCACCCTGCATCGAATTCCTGCCGTGGCGACATCGGCTATGGTTCCTGCCGGCGCATGGGCCCCCTAACCTTGATCGACCTCCTTCCTCGAAAGCCCCCAGAAACTCTCGCCCCACACCTTCCGTATGGGCTTCGTGCCGTGTGCTGCTTTGTGTGGCTTCTGGGGCCCACAGCAGGGCCCGACCAAAACAATGTGTGCTCGTGTTCGTGTCGTGTTCGTGTTCCCTCGTGTTGTCTCCAATCCGCCTTTGCTGCAGAGCGAAGTCGGAACGAAAACTGCCCACCAAAATCGCCGAACTGAGCACCGCTCAGGTCGACCGTGCCCCCGGCCAACAGCAAGCCCGCCACGCAAGCCTCGCCGCCGCGTCGAAGCGGCACGAAACTGCCGCACCCCCCAAGCCGACACGCAATCCGTGTTGCCCCTCCCATCCGCTGCGATCCCCCTGTGTCCGCGGAGGCCGGTGAGGAGCGCGTCAGGGCGCTGCAGTCGGGAGACTGCTGCGGGACCACGGACGCAGGCGCACGAGAAGGACCGAAGGGTGCAGGAGCACGAGAGGGACGGAGGGACGCAAGACCGAAAAGGTTCCACAGGAGCACGAAGAGGAAGCAGGGGTCGTGCGCGAGGGGGCCGACGATCTTACACGGTGGCTTGCGCAGGCCGCCCGCACGGACCACTACGCGGAAGAGAGGGCGCTCGCGCGAGACCTTGATCGGGGAGCCCATGCACGAGTGTCCGCGCAATCGACCCCGTTTTCCTCCGTCGCTCATGTGACCACCATGGGCTATTAGAAGAGGGTCCTGAACGCCATCGAGCGTTTGCCGAGAGCTCGAGCATCCATTAAGCATGCAACGATAGGTTGGTCAACAGCCTCGTCGTGCCGCAACGAGCTGAACACCAAATGCATTAGATCAAGAGCTACCGCATTCAAATGCGACGAGAAAGAGAGATACAGAGGAGGAGGAGGAGGAAGAGGAGGAGGAGGAGGAAGAGGAGGGGGGGGGGATGACTACGACGAGACGCTCGACTAGTTTTACAGCAAGAATCGCAAAGCAGGTCAGAAGGTGTGAAACGCTCAAGCATATGCGGGAGCTCCGAAATAGAAGACGACATTGTAAAGGTTTCGCACAACGTGCTTGCGCACTGGCGTGACGGCTATTGGTACCGCACACAAGCACGCGGAGAAACGGAAGGACGGGGGAAGACATACCGCTACCGACTCTCCCTCGTCCGCTCCCCTGGGTGCTTTCTGACCGAAGCCCGGAAGGGAATCCAGCCGTGAAAACGAAGGCTCCAAAGGAGGACCAAAATGGCGGACACAAACGGAGGGCATCGGTACCGGTATGCGTCTTATCCTCGGAGGGGTGCCGAGAGAGGAGGCGGCCGAAGGGAGGAGCAGGCCACTATAGGGAGGCAGCTCGCGATTGCGCATGGTGCCCGCCAGGCGTTGCTGGACGGCTATCTACAGAAGAGGGTAGAGCCTAAACGGGGGGGAGGATTGCGCTTAAGTGTGAGACACCTCGTTTACAAGATGCCACCTGCCTGCACGAGCCACAATTTACATGATGTCGTACGCTGGCGTTCAAATGATGTCACCTGCTAACATCATGCCATCTGCAAGTTTTGACGTGATATCAACGCGGTCACGTGACGCCGCCTCGATTGCGTGATTCCCCCTGCCAGCGTATACGTGATGGCACCTCGTTTGTGTGATGTCACCTGCGAGCGCTTACGTGATTTCACGTCGTTTACGCGGTGACAAACTCGTTCGCATGATATCACCTGCTAACGTTTACGTGATGACACCTGCCAGCGTTTACGTCATGTCACCTCGTTTGCGCGATGCCACCTTCTTCCGTTTCTGTGATGCCACCTCGTCTTCGTGATGTCACCTGCTAGCGGCTCCGTTGTCGCCTGCCAGCGCTTACGTGATGTCACCTGTCAGCGTTTACGTGATGGTACCTGATTGTTTCTCCGTGATGCCACCTGCCAACGGCTAGGGTCTACGTGATGTGCGTGATCTCACTTGCTAACTGCTACGTGGTGCCACCTGCTAGCGTCAACGTGATACAACATGCTAACGTTTACGTGATGTCCTCTGCTAGAGTGTGTGTGGTGTCTCGTAAAGTGTTTTCGTGATGCCACCTGCTGACGCTAACGTGATGTCACCTGCTAACGTTTACGTAAGGCCTCCTGCTAGCGCTAACGTGATGCTACCTGGAAGCATGTACGCAGTGTCAGCTCGGATGCGTGATGTCATTTGCTAGCATTTGCGCGAGAACCATGTCACGCTCATTTGATCGAACTTGGTAACGTTTACGCGATGGTACCTGTTAGCGCTTACGTGATGTCACCTGCGAGCATTTAAGACATGACACCTCGGATGCGTGCCGTCACTTGCTAGTATTTGCGCGAGAACGTATATCACGCTCATTTGCCCGAACCTGGTAGCGTTTACGTGAGATGACCTGTTAACACTTACGTGATGCCACCTGCTAGCGTCTGCGTGATGCCACCTATTACCGTCTATGTGGTTCCAACTCAAACGGTTACGTGACGTCGGGTGTTATCGATTACGATGATGTCACCTGCCAACGTTTACATGATGTCACCTGGTGACTCGTGTGTGATGCCACCCGCTCGCGTTTAGGTGGTGCCCCATGCTAGTGCGTATAAAGGGCTCCCTGCTAGCATGTACATGCCGCCACTTCGCTTGCGTAATGGATGACACCTGGTCTCGTTTACGTGGTGCCACCTGCTAGCGCTTACGTAATTCAACACGCTGGCGTTTACGTGAAGGCACCTGCTAGCGCTTACGTGATGCGGCATGCTGGTGTCTACATGATATCGCACCTAGCGTTCACATGATTTCTCACGGTGGCGTTTCAGTGACATCACCTGCCAGCGTATTGCTAAATTGCTAGCGTTTACGTGATGCCGCATGGTATCGTGAGCGTGGAATCACATACTCGCGCTTAGGCGATGCCGCCTGCTAACAATAACGTGATGCCACTTGCCAGCGTTACGTGGTGTCACCGGCTAGTGCTTGCGTGATGTCGCCCAGGTTGCGTGATGCCACTTGCTAGCGGTTACGCGGTGCCGCCTCGTTCAAGTGATGTCCGCTGATAGCGTTATGTAACATGACGTCACCTCGGTTACGTGATGTTACCTGCTAACGCGTACGTAATGATACATCTTTTGTGTGATGTCACCATCTGGCGTTTACCTGCCAGCGTGTACTTTATAACGCCTGCTCGGGCCAAGCCCGCTCCGCAAGGAGCGGCACGAACCTCCCCCGCGGTCTCTGGAAGAAGGAGCAGGCGGGGGCGAGGGAGGAGGAACAGCTGCTGCGGCCACCGGAGCTACTCGGAGGAACGCTCTTGTCTCGCGCAGGCCCGTGCGAGCCATCGGAATCACTGGCAAAATTTGTGTGCGCCCATCTCGCGGGACTGGGTCACTCATCTCACTCGCGTTCCGTGAGCTCGTCGTAGTTCTGATCGTATTCATGCTTTGAGAAATGAAACCTCTCTGCCCATTTCTCATACAACTTGGGCGCCACCTTGGGTCCCAGGATGGTGATCACAAGGAATATCAATTCCAGAACTTCAAAAGTGAACACGAGAAATACTAACACTCTCAGCAAGTCAAGGTTAATCTTGAATGAAAACCGAAAGCTGAATGCAACCGCCAAGAAACTTGACAGGATGACCCTGAGGATTGACGTCAGTCCACCGAATGTACGATAAGACGCCCATATGGCAACGAAGCCAAAGAGGCCAGCTGAACCCAACCATGCAAGCTTCCAGAAACGATACCTCCACTTGCCAATCAGTTTTCCCTCCATCTCTTTCGTCACATAGATGTAGAAGACAACAACGCTACAGAGATCAATAATACAAAGGTAATAGCAAGCATTCCCGTAGGCAGGGCTCATCTTGTAAGAAACCATGTTGGGACAGTCAGGAGCAAAATCGTGCAAGCTGGCAAGTGCGCCTAGCAAAGTGTTAGGCATCATCTTGTAGCGGAAGTAGAAGAGGAACTTCACGAGAACTGTCATAGGGGTCGTGCACTGCTGAAAATACGGCTCCGTCAACAGTTTCATGAGAGGCTCCGGAGCCCCAGCCATCTTCGCAAGGCGGTCAACAGGGTGAATTCCAATGAAGACAACCTTGTACACGAACCACAGGAGGGCGAACGACACCCAGTGGTTCAATCCAGTGGTGAAGAAGCCAGCATGACTTAAACCCTTCACTGTGCACTTATGAAGGTCGACCTCGCAAGTGTCGGGGTTGTCTATGTGCAAAGGGTCAAGCGAAGCGTTGACATGCAGACCATCTGGACCTTGCAGCAGAGTCTTCGAAGGCGTGACTTCCTCTAGCCGGTGGGCATAACATCCAGTTTTGTCTTCAAGTAGAAGCGACCATATGTTGTCCGACACACTCCCCTTCCCGTATCGAAGCCATGTTTCCGTCGTTTTCGAATACAAATGATACTCTGCGGCCATGCCAATACATGTGATAAGCAACATGAAAGGTATCTTTATGAAAGCCAGCCGGAATGCCAGCTTACTTTCGAACCCCCAGGGCAACATCGCTTCAATCGCGCGAGTCCTATCGGACTCGGGGTCCGACATCATCTGTCCTGCGCGGTGTCAAGAACAGATACGCCGAACAACGATCACGCCTGAAGCCCAAACGACTAGTGACTGATCAGCTGGATCGACGACGGCGGTCCCGACCACATCGGCCACGGGGCCCCGACCGCGTCTTCTCCTCTTTCAGCTCCTGCCCGTCGCCGCCCCGTCGCCGCCCGTACCAGGGCCTGTCTGCCGGTCTGGCAGCCGGTCTGGCGGCTGTGTGGCCGCCGTCGCCGCCAAATCGCCGTCTGGTCGACGCCAAAGGCTGCAGAACATATATCCTCTTTTCTGTAAGAGAATTCGGATCTACCCTTCCCCCGGACTTACCGGCCCCCCTTTTCGTGCTGCAATATATATATATATATATATATGATTCTGCCCCATCGTTCATTCTAAAAATGAACTCGTATCATCCCAGGCAGGCCGGTATCGCACCCCCCCTCATCCTCTGAAAAAGCAATGCGCGCAGACTCGTTTATTTAGAATCAGCTGTTCTCAACGATTGCAAAACACGGACGAAGTGCACACGCGCGCGTCGTCGCGCGCGCATGTCAGAATCCTTCAACAACTTTTTAAATGTTGCTGAGATTTAAAAAATCGATTGACCCGAAAACATGTACAAGCACATGGCTTCGCAACACGATTGTTCAAACAAGCTTGCGCCCTCGATCTTGCGAGTTCTTACGAAACCCAGAATTTTTCAGCATCTCCATAAAATGCTACCAAACGGGCCTCTCGCGCGCGCATGACGAAAACGCTCGAACGCCCCATCCCTTGCAACAAAAGGGACGAAATGCACACGAGCGCGTCGTCGCGCTCGCATGCCGAAATCCTTCCCGATAGAAGCATCTGGCTTCGCAACACGGGTCTTAAAAAAGCTTGCGCCCTCGCTCTTGCGAGTTCTTAAGAAAACCATCGGTTCTTCAACATCTCCATAAAATGCTGCCAGGCGGGTCTCTCGCGCGCATGACGAAATCGTTTGAACGCCCCTGCGCGCGTGCTGTCACAAGAATCCCTTGCAAACAACGGGACGAAGTGCACACGCGAGCGCGTCGTCGCGCTCGCATGCCGAAATCCTTCAAAAACCGTTGGCTTCGTAAGGATGTCAAAATCGAGTGTCCCGACCTTCCTATCTCTTTCTTCTTTTTGCGCCAGCCTTCATCCCGCTGCTCCGTCCTTATATTCCTCCTGCCCCTGCTGCTGTTTGTTATTGTGCTCGTCCTGCTCCTCCTACGCACAGATCTCGCTAGTTTGCTTACCTTATCCCTTTCCCTGTTCATTAATTCGATGACTCTGTGTGCTACGATTGGGGCGCCTTGGCCCATGCATGCGGGGCACCCGTCCTGTACCAAGTCCCGATGAAGGCCTCTTATCATTCTTAGCATTCCTCCTCCTCCTCCTCATCCTTTTCCTCCCCCTCTGTTTCTTGCTTGGGCGCAGGTTGCAAACTGGCGCCCCAGCATTGCGTGACAGTGCGGAGTGTGTCTGCGCCCGCTGACCCAAGACGTACACAGCGGTTGGAAGATGGCGCCGCCCGTCGAGTGCTCCTCGCCCTCCTCGGCTTCCCGCCTCCCCCCATCTCCTCTCGTCGCAGGTGCCGCTCCCGGCGGGGAAGAGGACGGACGTTAGCATGAGGAAGAGGATAGCGTCCGAGCGCCGCAGCGAAATCCTGTACCCCTCGCCCCCCTGCACTGAAACCCTGGCGTTGCAATTGGTTCACAGCGGGCGATATCGCCCGGTTTCTGGCCTCGGGACCCTCAGACATCGATCTGGCTCGAAAAATGAGCCAGAAAGGTGGGGTCCAGGACTCTGGTCGTCATTTTCTACGTTCTTTCAAGTTTTTCGCGACGTCGGAGCTCAGGGTGAGCCTCCCTTCCCCCATCCTCACTCGTCGCCTGTGCCGTCCCCGATGGAGAAGAGGATGTTGAAGAGGATGAGGGAGAGGATGTCGTCCACGAAAGCCGCGGTCATGATGGTCTGTCCGAACTCCATGTGCAGGACCTCTCGAGGCGAGCTGCAGTGCTCGCGCGCCCAAACGCTTGCTGCTACTCGTCAACGGCCTGCTCTCCCTCATTTCCTCCCCCTGGCCACTTCCGCTCCACTCCCTACTTGGTCTCCTCCCCCTCCCCCTGCTCCTCCTCTTCCTGATGCTTGCATCGGATGCTGGACCCGCGGGTTCGTGCTTTGAAGAGGGAGCTTTTTAAGGCATCGTTTTTTTAGCCGTGGGCGGCCCCGCCAATGCGCATTCGTAGTAGCCCCTTCCTCCCGCTGCTCTTCCTTCCCCACAGACCTTGGGATACTCCTCGCCCTCCTCCTCCTGCTCGTCTTGCTCCTCCTGCTCCTCCTCCCCCTGATCCTCCTCAGAGTCGTCGGCCTCCTCCTCCGCGCCATCCTCAAAAATCTCATCTTCGTCGTCGTCCTCTTCCCCACCCTCCTATTCCTCACCCGCTGCTCGCTGTTCCTGCTCACCCTCCTCAACATGCAGCTACACGCTACATTACGTTATGCACCATGCTTCCTCGTGCTCCCGGCGCCGCCCCTTCCGCTCGCGCTACCGCTCTCACCCCAGTCGCTGCGGCAAGACATCGTGGACTTCTGATAGGACTAATACGATATCGTCGTGCCGTTCTTCCTGCAGCAGCTAGTGGCAGCTGCAGCCTCGCGTTCTTCCTGTCGTTGATGATGCCAGCGCGTGGATCCCAAACAGTGACCCAGAGCAATCTGCACTCTGCAATTTATGTGATACTAGCACAATGTAAATGGGGCGGAATAGTTCAGAGGGGTTTGAAGCCGCGTATTCCAATGCTCGTCGTCGACTCCAACGCGCGAGCAAATATATAACCATACCCTCAAATGGTGTCAAACATTAACTCGCGTAGTGATACAAAGACCCTTCTCATGAAGATCCGTGATTCGGGCGGACGAGTACTGATGGTAATGACGATGATACTGCGGATGATTATGATGATGGTGGTGATGATGGTGGCAGTGACGACGAGGGCGATGACAACGACGGTGACCATGACGCTGCTGATTACGGCGGTGGGGATGACGACGATGATGACACTGGCGAGTCCGTTGATGATGATGATGATGATGATGATGATGATGATGATGATGATGATGATGATGATGATGATGATGATGATGATGATGGTGATGAACATGTGTTTTCCATGCTGTAAGGGCGTCGCATGTATCTCGTGGCGCTGTGTGAGCCGACGGCACGATAGAAAGGATCGTGCTTGCCGATGTGCCGAATCAGACAGGCAGTCTGAGGCGTGCGGAGGCTCGTAGTCTAGGTTGGCCGCGAGTGCGAAGGTGAAAAGGGGCAACAGGGTCTCACATGACCCTGGGCTCCACTCAGCACTGGCACGGTACTTAACGGATCGGCCGATGGCAACAGTCATGGGTCACTGGACGGGAGGCTGGCTGCGGACGCAGAGGTAAAAAGCATCTCGGACAAAAGGACAACTCGGGCCTCAACTGGCCCCGAGCTCAACTGGTGAGCCAGGGTGATGGAGGTGACCAGGATCGCGATGCAAGATGCAATCGTTCAGAAGCAAGCGGGTCGATAGTAAGTTACGTGCGTGCCTGCGCGCGCAAAGCGAGAGGAGGGGGAGGAAGGGGAGGGATGACGAGGTAGGACGAGGACGAGAGAGAGGGACATTTTGCCCGGGCGGCCGCAGGTCGCCTTCAGGCCCGCAGAAAGTGTGCTGGCACACCTGTGCGGATGATCATGCTGGCGGATGCCTTCAGCGCCCCCCTCCCCAGTCCCCTCTCCCTCTGCATCCCCCTCCTCCTCCTGTATCCCCCTCCTCCTCCTGTATCCCCCTCCCCCTCCTCCTCCTCCTGTATCCCCCTCCCTCTCCCTTTCCCTCTGTGTCCCCCTCCTCCTCCTCATCTCCCCCGCGACGGTGCGCGCCTGGGCCTCGCTCAAGAGCCGCAGGGAGATGCCCACGCTGGTCGGCGCCAGCGCCGTTCCAGCCGCAAGGCTGTCTGGAATGAGGGGCCTCGCTCGACGACGACGACGACGATGCTGACGACGACGACGATGCCGACGACGACGACGATGCCGACGATGCCGACGACGCTGACGACGCTGACGACGCTGACGACGCTGCTGACGACGACGACGCTGACGACGACGACGACGACGACGACGACGACGACGACGACGACGACGACGACGACGACGACGACGGCGGCGCTGGCGATGCCGACGGCGGCGGCAACGGCGGCGGCGGCCATGGCGGCGGTGGCGGCGCCGTCGTCACCGCGGCGTGAGGCCCCTCAGGCAGGGGAAGCCGCCGCGCCGTGGGATCGCAGCAGTCCCGCAGGGGTGTGAAGGAGCGAGTGTGAGGGGGAGGGGGCGGGCAAAGTAGGAGCAGCAGGCAGAGAGAGAGAGAGAGACAGAGAGAGCAGGAGGAGGAGGATGGTGAAGAGAAGGAAGAGGAGAAAGAGGATGGGAGAACAGGATAACAATGAGGAGGAGGAGGAGGAGGAGGAGAAGGAGGAGGAGGAGGAGGAGGGTAGGAGGAGAGTAGGAGAAGGGAGAAGAGGAGGAAGAGGGGAAGAGAGCAGAGAGGTACGAGGGAAAGCAGGAAGAAGGATGAGGCGAGGAGGCGAGGTCCCCAGCGTCCAGCCGTGGCGACAAGTATCTCCAGAGGCCGCGAAAAACCTCTAAGACGACGACGTCGAAGTCGGCCACGGTGACTACGACGTCGTCGGCGGCGACGAGGACGAGAATGAGGAGGACGACGACGAGGACGAGGACGAGGACGAGGACGAGGACGACGACGACGACGACGACGGACGACAGCAACCGCAGCGACAGCAACTGCACATGGACAATCGGATTGAGGCTGGAGGAGGAACAGGCCGAGGACGGGGAGGAGGGAGGGGGAGGATTGCCACGAAGGACGAGGGCCCTGCTGAACACGGGCCCTGGGCGCCAAACTTTCCCAGGGATCACTTAGCCGTCCCTCGTCCTCTGACGG